TTGATCTCTTGCCCTATAATTTATTAAAAAAAATTTAAAATATCATAATTAATTATTGAAAAAATTATAAATTAATAAAATTACAATTAAAATTAATAATCTTAAAAAAATAATTAGTGACAATAAACTTAGGCAAGAATCAAGCAAGCACTCTAAACCTTTTTTTTTTTTTTGTTTTTTTAGAATGCACTCCGAACTTCTTTATCTTGTTTAATTAAGGTTAAAGTACCACTTGGTCCCTCAACTTTCTACTTTGGCACCAAAATTGTCCCTCAACTTTAACAAGTGCTAAAATTATCCTTAAACTTTCATTTTCGATACTAAAATGATCATTCCGTCAATTAAGTGGACATGTGACACGTTAAAATGCCACAAAATCACTGTTTTTTTGAATTTTAATGATGTGTAAGTCCAACGAAGAAAATTTTGCTACTTTTGCTACTTTTGCTACTATAGCATGTTTTTTACACGTCAAATTGCTCTCCCTTTTCAGAATCACTTTTTGTGGGGCCCACATGAAAAATTGTTATCCCTTTCCAGTTTCAATTGAGTTCCCGAAGGCCAAATGAAAACAAACACAAACTCAATACTGACTTCCAAAATTTGGAAGATACGAAAGAAATGCAATGAAAAACGAAAGAAAAAGGAAATGAAAAACTCAAACTCATTCTAAGTTTTCATATGGTGCAAAATGAAAAAACTTTTCTACGAAAAAAAAAAAAAAAGGGGATCAGAAATATTTTCTCAGCAACCAAACAAAGCAAGAAGCTAAAGAAACAGGGCGAAGAAAAACTAGCTTTACCATCCCAAACTTCCAAATTGGTCAAACCAATCACCAAGAATATGAATTTCATGCTTAAAGCTGTGGAAATGAAGTGAAATTGTGAAATTACTGGAAGAAATGCTAGGGTTTGTTCCGTGAGGAACCCAGAAACTGGGTTCTTCAAGGAACCTCGTGTAACCTAGGTTCTGGGTTCATCAAGGGTTCCTTGTGAAACCCAGAACCTAGCTTCTTTGAGGAACCTAGGAACCCAGAACTGGGTTCCTCGAAGAACCCAAAACCTAGGTTCTTCAGGGAACCCACGAACCTAGAAACTTGGTTCTTCAAGAAACCTCGCGTAACCTAGGTTCTAGATTCATCGAGAAACCCAGGAACCCAGAACTGAGTTCCTCACAGAACCCAGATCTGGGTTCCTCGAAGAACCTCGAACCTAGGTTCTTCAGGGAACTGAGGAACCCAAAACTGAGTTCCTTGAGGAACTGGGTTCCTCAAGAAACCTAGCAATGGGTTGGGTTTCACAACCCAGCACCGGGTTCCGTGAACCTAGAACTGGGTTCCGCGAGGAACTAGGATGATCAAGAGGAAAACCCAGCACCGGGTTCCATGAGGAACCAAGATGATGAAAAGGAAGAGGATGGTGAAGATGATGAGAAGGATGGCAAAGAAAATGGTGAAAAAGATAAACGGTGAGATGATGTTGTCGAGGATGAAGCTGAGGTTGAGGATGAGGAGAAAGAAGAAGATGACGAAATGAAAGTTAATTAACTTAATTATGTTTAAATTCATTTAATTTATAAACTCATTTTTATTTAAATAAAAAAATAACACAAGGAAGAAAAAATGTCATCTCATCACTTTTAGCATGGTATGTTTTCCACGCAATTATTATTTTTTTAAGAATATGATTTTGTGGTATTTTAACGTGACATCTGTTACTTAACTGACGGAAGGATCATTTTGGTACAAAAGATGAAAGTTTAAGAATAATTTTGGTACTTTTTAAAGTTGAGGGACAATTTTGGTGTCGAAGTGAAAAGTTGAGGGACCAAAATGATACTTTAATCTTTAATTAAAATATGAATGTTTTTTTATTGGGGAAAAAAGAGAAAAGAAAAGAAAAGAAAACACTCTAAAAAACACAATGCTTCATGCTGTCTTATAGGTTGTCCCTTGGGATTAGTTACTACCGTCTATTGTCACCAATTTGACTTGAGAAGAATGGCAGTGTTCATGACTAAAAAAATGAAAAAATAAAAATGGTGTTCATGACTTGAGAAGAATGGCATTGTTCATGCATAAATTAAACACACACTAATTAACACATTAAAAAAACGGAGATACTTGCCTATTTTCAAAAAAATAAAAAAGACAATAACAACAAAGATGCTAATTTAATATTAACAACGTGAACGATTTAAATAATTTAATAATTATTTTTTTTTATTAAAAGTAAAAAATTATAAATTTGAATTATATGATATATGAATAAGGTGAAATAAATGATAAAAGATAATTGTTTTTTATTATACAATTAAGATAAAAAAAAAACTGACAACGATTATTATTATTTTTTTAAATAAATAAAACTACGCAACATGATAGTTTTTTGTTAGCCTGGCCTCCTATGCTTTTACTGCTCCTATGTTTGAGCCTTGCGGCGGAATACAAAATTTCTGAGATTCCTTTTTTTTTTTTTTTTGTCTATTTATTATAAAAAGTGAATCTGAACATGCATCCTAATGTTTAATTTCAACTTATGTATTATATCTCATTTATCTTATAATTATAATGAAATGTCATAATATATTCGATAGCAAAATGCCTTGATTTTTAGTATATTCTGTTTATTACATGACGTTGTACTTTTTGTATTCTTATTTGCTGCTGTATGATATTAAAAAAAAAAAAATAGAAGAAGAAGAAAACTCAATATAAAAAAGAACAAATAACAGCCGTTTGGAGGACAATCGAGATTCGAAAGACCTTATACCATATTAATTTTTATATTTTGGATAGGATCATAAGTTGTGGTATCATAAATAGGATCATAAAGATCTTATATTATAAAATTTTTTTTAATGATTGATTTATATAAATATAAATTAGGTAAAAGTATGGTATAAGGACCTGAGCTTGCACCAAATTGGCAATTTCAAACCCAAATTTTAATTGCATTTATTAAGTTCCTAAATTATACAAAATTCTCAAATAAGGTTTTAGTTTGATGAAAAATTAACTTATCATTAAATGTTTTACCGACTCCATTAAAAATATATTGCTACCATAGATGGTAAGTTAATGAACATTAATGAAATCAGTAAGACGTTTGACAATAAGTTAATTTTTCAACCAAATGGAATTCTATTTGAGAAGAGTAATGATTCAGCGGACGAAAACGCGAGACGAAAATGGAGGACGATAAGTGATGCAAGATTTATGTATATAGTGCAATTATCAATTTGACCCCCTTACATCACTTGTCGTCTTCCATTTTCGTCCGCTGCATCATTACTCATTTGAGAATTTCTTGTAGTTTGAGATCTTAATTGCGCATAATTAAAGTTTGGGTTTGAAATTACAAATTTGGTGCAAGCTCGAGTCTTTATACCATACTTTTGCCTATAAATGATATAACTAATTTATAGAATTGTTAATAAGTCAAATTGAATAATTAAATATTCATGCTTGAACTTAGCTTAAAATTTTAAATTTAAGTATTTGCCCAATTTAAAATAATTGAACCTGTGCTCAAGTTTATAAATATTCAAGCGAGTTCAAGCCAATGAATACATTATTATTATTATATATGTAAATTTAATAAAGAAATATATAATAAAATTTTTAATTCAAAACTAAATACTCACAAATAACTCACGAATAATCATAAAAGTTTAAGTGTAAACTTATTTTTTTTATCGAATTCAATATTAAGCTCAAGTTCAATTCATTTAACAAATGAGCCAAACTTATATAAAACTTAATCAAGTAACTCATGAGTTATTGATGAATTATTTTACTTGTTAATAGCACTATTGACTACAATAAAATAACCTCATTTAATTAATCTTCATTTTCCTTCATCTTATATTATCCCCATTTTTCTCGTTTTGCACAACATCATCAAAAGTAGCTTCCCAAAAATTAGAAAAAAAAAATACTAAAAGAAAATGATTAAAATGGTATGAAATAAATAATTTAAAAAACAAAAATCGTAAAACAAAAAAGTTAGAGGATCAAAGTAATTTCAATTAAAAATTGAGACCCTCATCGTTTGACTTAAGATAATATGGAATGAAGGACCACCATACTTGAATTAAACTCTATTCAACAATCAACCACCGTATATTTGGACTTTAGCCCTCAACTCTATGCCAGCCGTAGTGAGGGCTGAGTAGCCACTCAATCATTTCTCTTACTATATATTGCTCATGCTGAGGCCTCTTGCGTGAGTCGACACACAAACACGAAGCATTCCATTTCCATCCAATTCCTCTTTCCACTGCCCTGAAAATTCCCATACATGGCTAAGTCCCCAGAAGAAGAGCATCCTGTTAAAGCCTTTGGCTGGGCTGCCAAAGACGTGTCTGGCCATCTCTCCCCCTTCAACTTCTCTAGAAGGTGATTTTTCTAGACCTCTTACTCTTCTTGGCTGATTAATACCTGTAAGATCTGGTGTTAGTCATGTGATAAAGTCTGTGTTCAACTGGTGCGTATGTGTTTTGTGCAGAGCAACTGGTGAAGAGGACGTGAGGTTTAAGGTGTTGTATTGTGGGATATGTCACACAGATC